ATTTCTCCAGAGAGGATGGTTATATAAAAAAAATTTACTGCGACGTTTCTCTACCTTATAAATTCTCGAGGTTATACGAGCAACCTTGCGAGTCTCGGAGACCACCTCCGGTAACACTTCCAACTTCTACGGAACATCCCCAGTAACACCTCCGCATGCCGTGCACCACCTTAACAAACCTTCAAAGTTCTACGGACCATCTCATTTACGCGGGATTACTTGCGGTTGAAACTGTTAAATGAGATATGTCATTAATAACGATGCTCGCTAGCTATTCCGCCGTACTTAATTCTATGGAAACGACGGTACCTCGGATCCTCGAGATTTTAATGCCGAAAATTTCTCTCGTAGTGTCGTGAATTATGCTGAAATACCTAATACTTTTACTCGGAATTGTTTGTGACAGAATTATTTGATGAAAGAGAATTTACATGCGTAAAGCTGCTTCGCTCTACTCGGATCAGTCTCGATAATTGTCTCTGAGAGCTCGTGTTACGTGTTCCTCCTGTTGTCAATGTGCAAACAATTTTCTGTACCAACTATACAGGATGTTCAGCCACTTCTGGGAAAAATTTTAAGGATTAAGGATTTTAAGAGATTAAGAGATTAATGATACTAATTTGTTCATTGAAGCTTCGTTAAAAAGTTATAGAAACATTTTCGGCCATACAGTACGTATATTTTCGGGAAAGAATTTTTTTCTCGGAAGTCCGTAGGATTTCGGGGGTATGAAATTTTTTAATAATTTTTTAACGAAGCGTCAATCAACAAATTGATATTCTTGATTTTCATTTTATTTTGACCTCTAGAATCTCCCATTAAAATTTCTCGGTGATCTTTGTTGGAACGAGATATGCAAAACTTAGAAAAAAGCAGTTTGATCTAAAATTTGGTAATTCCTTCAAAGCGTCGCGCTAAATTACAAGAGATTTGAAAACGTTATTAAACTTTTATTGGAAATTTCAAGAAATATGTTTTCCAATGCGAGGGGTAAGTGCTGGAAGGACTCGTTTAAGGAACAATGGAAGGAGGTCAATTGAACGCGATTGGTCAATTCACGATAACGGATAACGGGTGATCGATCATTTGGCATATTCGACTATTACTCCAGTAATCGAACGTTCCTTTAATGGATATTCCGATAATCGGCATACCACGGACATTCTTCGGAAATTCTGCGTCGCGTGGATCGAAGAACAAAATCGTAACAACTGACCAACGTAGAGGGTGTTGAGAAACGAGATTCAAATAGTATATCCATGGTGAACGATACATTTTCCTCTAATTATCATGAGATCGAGACAAAAGAATGGCCCAGTAACGAAATATTTTATCACGTTGTATTTGATCCTTTAAACCATTTAACTTTTAATACATTTTTTGGTAGCACCCACGCAACGAAAGATATTAAGCTACACCGAGTCGAATGCCTTGTATGTATAAAACGTGCCAAATAATTTTCTTACAAATTGCCTTCTCCGCTCGTTTCGAGCGAATCTCCGAGTGCCTTTCATCCCGTTCCAATGAACCGACGAAATTCCAGCAACCTTAGGATTCGCACAAAGGGAGGGTTAGTTTCTTCTGTAACAAGCAAACACAGCCGAAAACACTTTGAAGGTGGCTCGACGAGGTGGAAACAGCGCGAATAATTCAAGGGGTCGTAAAACCAGTAGAATTAACTCGAAAAGAGGAAGGGTAGGGATTAATTTGCGAGCCTCTGTTCGATTCTTCGAATGGCTTGGAAAGCTTATTACGGTAAAGGATCTTAGAAGAAGGTGGATTGTATCATTCCCTTGTTTGCTCCGAAACCCTTTTGGCCGTGATAAATGTACACCGAGGGGCTCTGACGTCTCGATGCAATTTCGAAGATAAATATTCCTAACCCAAATTCTGTGGCCCGGTAATTTACTTTTTTAGCCGATTTCGTATAAGCGTGGTAGCGCAGGAGAAAAATAGGGTGTAATATTTTTTTCTGAGAGTCCATTAAATCCACCGAGACGTCACCATTCATCGTACGTTCCTCTATGAAATATTCAATTGCTTAGCGTCGACAAAACTCACGGTTGGAAGGGCTTGAGAATACTGGCCGTTCTAATACGTTTGCATTGGTCCTGCTGGGCGAGTTAAGCGCACGGAAACACCGAAAGGCTTTTCCGCGCGAAAATTGGGATTGTCGAGAGTTTCGGAGACGCTTGCACGAATTCTGTAATGTATCAGTCCAACGGTCGCCGCGTTAATAACAATCGAATTCTTGATGAAGTACCGTAGAGAAAGGGTAAAAATGTCGCGACCATCGAACAAGAAAAATTTGTCGAATAAAACAGCACGTCGCACGTTCCACGATACGGTTAGCAACGAGTCGTGACTTTTGTCGTTTCCGTGATCGATTAATGCATCCTGCGAGCGATATTTCCTCGATTAAATCGTGCCGTATATCGCGACACTACGGTCAGAAACGAGGGATACTTTATAGGCATTTCAAAACGGTTAATCCCCGAGGTTGTCGCGAGCACGAAGCGTGGAAATATTTCGCGCGAGCTTCGAACCTCGAGCCCGGCCGATCTCGTGTAAGAACCAGTCAAATAAACAATATTTCACATCGAAAGCTCTGACCGGGAAAGGGAAAGACGACGGGAAAAAGAATATTTAACAGCCTGCCAACTGGTTCTTTGTTTCGAGGAACGAAATTGCGAAACATTAACGTTGCTCTCTCTCTCACTCTGCGTGCCGTTGTCTCCGAATAATTTGATACTTTCATGGATGTATTCGACTTCATTAACCGGAGGATCTGTTCCCAGCGTGTGACGGTCTCAAAGGATTTTTACCGTATAACATTTCAACCGAGAAACACGACAACGCTTCTAACGCGCTTCCATGGATGGACAAAACGTATTTCAAAAAGTATTCGAATTACGAGTACCGTAATTTGTATTCTGTTTCTAGTTCGCACGTAGATACGAGCGAAACACGTGTGCCTGCGCAACGACGCGTACGCTCAAACAATTCTCCACATAAACAGATACAAACACGCTCACCGACACGGACGTCAACGTAAAATAACGCTCGACGAAAATATTTGGAGCCTCTGTTTCTCGTCGCTTTATATATAACAGGCATTCTGAAAATAATACAACTCCTACCGTGTAAGGGACAAAAATGTCAATTAATTTTTACTCGTATTTATATTGTTGTCCTAGTGCAGCCCTTAACTTTGGCCTAGCATACTTTTCACGAACCGGCAACACGCATACGAGTATCCTACTCGATTCGTTACGAGTGCGTCAAGTATTCTTGTGCGCCATTCGTTGAGGTACCTAGAACGAATGCCGAAAGCATGGCGTGTGCGTGATGCGTGGCTTGTTGCAGCAGTGTAAACGTACCCGTTACGGGCACTCGTGCGGACGAGATCGTATTTGCCGCAGTGCAGGACTACAGGCAACAGGATAGTTATGCGCCAGTCGTTCCACCGTGTACTTTCGGGCCACTCTGCTTCGCGAGAACCATTCGGATATTCATGCGTTTTGAAGTGATCGCTGCCGCGTTGTCCGATCCGGAATTGCTCGGATAAATTGCGCGTCTCCCGAGCCTCTGTAAACGAATTCGCGATTACACTTGTAATTAACTTTCCTACCAACCTTGCTCGTTCTCCAGTCGGTCGAAGCTGTTTGCCTAGTTCGAAACGAAACGAGCATCGACGCGTGCGCGCCGTACGGTTCTAAAAGAAGCTAGTTTTTTTAGTAAAATCTTGGGACGAACTTATGTGAACAGTGTGCATAGCGTAATCTATATACGTGTCTATACGAAAGTTTCAATTTTGCAAAACAAAGGACAATGTTAAGTCATAGAGGGGTTTACTGACCCAAGAGCGTACAGCCTATGCTATACACCGTTGGAAAGGTCTCGCCAAGGCGAATCGACTGATACCGTTTTTAACTTCGATATCAGATGGGATCATGTCGAAAAATGGCCTCAAAATTCGAGATTTTGCGGTTTTGAACAAAAGAATCCGGTCGTAAAAGCCCATCCGGCCCGAGGGACCTCGGGTAGGCACCTGAGGGAAAACCGAGCGGTGTAAGCGATACTCTAGCAGATTGGGACGGCAAATGTGCCCCACCACCTTCATTTCAGTGCCGTGTTGGGCCTGCGTTTGCCGCATGGGCCCCGTTCGAAATGCCCAGGGCGAAATCGCCAATGGATCAGTTGTTTTTCATGAACATAATATATTCATGATAGACGATTCGCAGGTATAAGTTGGGAATGTGCAGGTTAGTATTCAGACTAATGCGTCACTTACAATAGTGAATGGAGTGACATTTTATTGATTGAACGAAACATAATGATGTGAATACTGAATACTAACCTGCACATTCCCAACTCATACCTGCGAATCGTCTATCATGAATATATTATTCATGAAAAACAACTGATCCATTGGCGATTTCGCCCTGGGCATTTCGAACGGGGCCCATGCGGCAAACGCAGGCCCAACACGGCACTGAAATGAAGGTGGTGGGGCACATTTGCCGTCCCAATCTGCTAGAGTATCGCTTACACCGCTCGGTTTTCCCTCAGGTGCCTACCCGAGGCCCCTCGGGCCGGATGGGCTTTTACGACCGGATTCTTTTGTTCAAAACCGCAAAATCTCGAATTTTGAGGCCATTTTTCGACATGATCCCATCTGATATCGAAGTTAAAAACGGTATCAGTCGATTCGCCTTGGCGAGACCTTTCCAACGGTGTATAGCATAGGCTGTACGCTCTTGGGTCAGTAAACCCCTCTATGACTTAACATTGTCCTTTATCGACCCTAAGTTGAGGAATAATTTCTCAAAGCTGCCTCCTGGAAACGTTATTTAAGTATAGCTGCCAGACGCGCGGCTTTAAATACATTATCACCTTCTGCTTTCTTTTCGCGCGTAGTAATTTTAATAAACGCGCCTAGAGGCGTATACATTGTTCGTGTAAGGATTTTATCGCAGTCGTCTATTTATTGTTTTCAGAGGAGGCTGTGCACAGTTCGCGACTGTTCGAGGCGGACGCCTCGAATGGGCTGCAAACGCCAGAAAAAGGCCCTTACTTTGACACGACGGTTCCGTCGAACGTGACAGGCCTCGTTGGGAAGACCATTCAACTCGTGTGCAAAGTGAAGAATCTTGGAAACAGGACCGTAAGTGTTCTTTCGAAAATTTTCTTTCGGAAATATAAGCGTAGACGTTAGTAGATTCGAAAGTTCTTAACGCATGGCTAGGCAGATTAAGCAGAAAAGGAAGAAGCTCGTGGTGGGATCTTTCGGTTCAGACGTCGACAGTATGTTACAATTTTAATTCCAAAACTCATCTCTATGCAAAGCACGGCTCGGCCAGATACGCGTGCACCGACTAATATGTTTCGTTGATAACGTGCAGTCGCGTCCACGCGTATAATGTCGCGATAGCGCGGGTAAAATTGAGATTTCCCCGACAGGGTAAAATTACACGAAGTCTCGAGGCCGAATGAAAGCGCCGACACGAGCCCAGAAGCGATATTCCGCGAAAGAAAGTTTACCTAGCAGTGCTTCACCTGTCGTCGCTCTTCGAATTGTATTTGCTTTAGGAATTGGTCTCCTCTGCCGACTACAAACTCGTCTGCTTCTATACACGCCACGTTCCCAAAGGAAGTACAAATACTTTATCGAACAATTTTACAGTTATTTCAAAACGAACTAGAATCGCGCCCATGCGCGCCTGTCTGTCAATAGTTCCCTCGAACACGAGCTGCGTTCGTCGATCGTGTCTATTTTAAACCATCCGAGTGTTAAATCGTGCTGGAGAAAACGATTTAAATTGCCTATCTAGGTTGCAGAATGGTCGTTATAGCACTGCATAGCCCGCGAAGAAATAGCTCGGTTTACGACTGTTATGACTGCACCGGGTCGTCGATTGGATTATGCGCTAACTAACGACCTCCAGAAGTTTATGGTATCACCAAAACTTGCCTTACGTCGTTTTGTACGCTTCGTGTTGGAACTTTGCCGATTTGCTTATCCATGACGTAGATGGACGTGATCGTAGCATTTGTTCTACTCGCCAGTACGAGATTTATTATCGAACATTTCTTTGCACATCTTAAAATGACTCGTACTACGAGTGGAAAAAGTTACCACGGTTCATGGCACCAATCGTGGCACCTACTCGAAGGAAACGGAGTTTGGGTTGCTGCCAAGCTGGTTGACTCTTGTCTTTCACGGGAGTAATCACTGTTCTCGAGTTTTATCGTGTCTTTAGAAAAGGGGAAAAATATTTTTTACCGCATCCAAATGTCTGAAACTTGGAGCTCGTCAAATCGTACAATAGTCTCGTTACCTTTTTATCGATTCAAACTTTTCAAAATGTAATAACCACGTTTCGAAATCGATTCTGTATCGACGGGTGTATCGTAAGGATCTTATTACAGTTCGCTTTTATTCCACTTCTTTATTAAAGACGATTCCGAAGTTTCTCAATATTGAACATTTTTATTAAAGGTATACCGACGACATAAAAATCTTTGGTACTGTGAATATATTGGTAAACGTAGTATGTAATAATATATTAACGTTCAATATTTCAAAGAAGATCGAAAGAGGGAGATTGAAATTGAATGAAAAGGCGACCTTATTTGGAATATTCTTAGAAGAACTATTGAAATAAACGTTCGCGTAACAAATAGAGATCGTTCTTAAAGTACAAAGCAAGGGTAATTTATTAAATGTAATTTTTGGTGTTGAAAGCGACGTTCCTGCAATTCGTTTTAAAATGGTCCTCAAGTTGGAAAACGGGTGGCGTTTGCACGGAACGTTTTTCGTAAGCGAAAACTGAAGAATTAACTTGATGGTAACAGAGTCATCCAGGCGGAGGAATCCATTTGAAAATTTAGCGCAAACGCTCGAAATTGCTTAACTCGTGCCCGAAATAATCTGTTAGACCGCAAATGTACTCCCGTTGTAAATTAACTAGCAAACGTGCGGACACGCGTGGAATAGCCGCGTATTCGACTACTCGGTCCTCTAAAAACATCTGGTCGTGCGATACGAACGAATACGCGACGTTACAACCTAACCACCGCTGTTAAAGAGTAAAACGATTTGGTAAACAATGGATTATATCCGTAAAGGGGGAACGATGCGCGAGCTTAACGTTGCCAGGGCGGAAAGTAATGATGTAACGGCGCGAAGACGACCCATGGGGATGGAAAAAAGGAAGTAAAAGTTGTATCATCCAATGTTGTAAAGAACGAAGTGTGAGCGGTAATAAACCGACACCGAGGGCGTCGAGCGAAACATAATGCAACGTGCTTCGCGCGGTGCATTATCTTCGGATACGACTTCCTGGCGCCAACATCGTCTCGCTCGTAAACAGTCATGGAGGAACAGAGGTCTTTCGACCTAAATTTCAAAGTGGCAATTACCCGAAAAAAAATGTCTTGCGCTACGTTACTCCTCCATCGTGTAATTAATAAGAGGACATATAAAAGATTTTTGACTTGTTTTTGTCTGTAGGTATCCTGGGTTAGGCATCGGGACATCCATTTGCTGACAGTTGGTCGTTACACGTACACGAGCGATCAGCGTTTCGAAGCTATGCACACCCTCCACACCGAGGAATGGACCCTGAGGATACGATATCCTCAGAAGAGAGATTCCGGTATCTACGAATGCCAAATATCTACCACTCCACCCATGGGCCATTTCATTTACCTGACCGTGGTTGGTAAGTCGTCGATCGCCTGAACCCAATTAAATTTCGTTCCCTCGACTAGAATTTAGTCTCGGTCCAGTTATCGATCACAGTTCTCAGTTTCATCACGTTGGTTTACGTAGCTGTTAAAACTAACGAGGATTCCTCGTTTCGCCAAACTTGTATTATCGGTGTACACGCTATACAAGTTAATCCGTGTCGTAAAAACGGAATAACGTGTCATAAAAGTCTTCGGTTTGCAACAACGATCGCCATCAAGCAATTGCATGGCCCATTTTCTGGCAGAAATGTTTATCCTATAAGCATGTATTCGACGTGGTTTCCGTATGAAAGATCGTCTCCCATTATCGTCGCTGGATATAATAACACAATTTCTTTTTTGTGTTCCCATCGTCTTTGGGAATCGTAAATCAACGCGAGAACTTTCGACCTGTTTCGTACTTGTTTCTGGGACGAAGCGTAGGTAGGGTTGAATTTGTATGCGTTCCGTGCACACCAATGAACAGACGAATTTAAACGAGTTCCGAAAGTAGTGCCAGTTCCTCGGTGCATTTTTTCTCACGGTAAATTAAGCGCGAAAGAGTCGAAGACCAACGAGAAGAAGCGAAAGGTAGAAAGGGTGAAAAAGAAACGAAACGAGGGTCTGGTCTGATAGATAACGTCGGAAGGGGGCAAGGGACATCGAAGGACGGAGAGCAGATTCCGGCGATTTCTCTTCTTCCATTTCTTTCGAGGAGCAATAGCTTCATTAGCTTCGGCGATAATTGGCTCCGTTCGTGACTCGCTTTCGCAAAACACTATTCGATCCTTGACGTCGTTATCCTTCGAAGGCCAACTCCGAGAATCCTTTGGTCGTCCCTCGTTCCAATCGGCCACCCAAAAGGAGTCTCAGTCCTGGATATCCGTTCTGTGTAGAACTCGAACGAATTGCTTGATTTCTCTGTTCTCCCTTCCGCCGGATTTAAGACTTACCAACTTGCTTCGAGGCCCGATAATGACCCTGGACATTGATGCCGCTTTGATCAAAACCGCGTTCGATGATGCAAAACTGCCAAGTGTTATTTTTTTTTGAGATAACTGCTTTCTTTAACGCTATATATCCAAAGGACGTTAGGTGTTAATTGCTTCGTAGAAAGGAACATCCTCGTTTATGCTGGATTCGTGTTGATTATGAGACCCTGTATAACGTGTATACGTTTAGAAATACACAGACAGGAGTCTTTGAAAAAGGTAAACAGAAAGGGAATGACGCACTCTTCGTTAACATCAAAGCAGACAGCGACGTAGAAAAATAAAAAAGCAACCACGGACTTTGAAGAACCGGGTAGGCGAATGCTCGCTCGATTGTCCTGACGTTTCGTGTTTCGTGCAAACACACGTACACGTTGACAGCGAAACGCAGCAAAGCCCATCTCAAAGGTTTCAGAGCGTCTTCGTGAAAAACTGAAAAGGTGTTCGACGAATTGTTCCTAGTATCCAGCTTCTGTCACGACGTCTAATAAAGGTACAATGCTAGGACGAATCGAGAAACAACTGCCTGGCTTTCAGCGGCATTCGAAGCACCCAATATCCGTAAAATTGCTCCAACGAAGCGGATCTTTTCGACGACGCGATAACACGAACCATTTCTCGTTCGTTTCGTAATCGAATTTAATAAAGTCCTAGATCCAAATTTTACTTTCCTTTGACAAAACATTACGCGAACGCAACAGTCTGTAGCGTTTGTTCACTATCATTGTGAACCACGTCGGTGTGAAAGTAATAGAGTCCACGAGATTAAAACGAAAGGGCGAGGAACGGTATAAAAATCGAAAGTATATTTTTCCGGAGTTTTCGCGTCCGATTTCGAGCCCCGACTCGTTCTACTTTCCCGCGAAATTGAATTTGCGGAATTGAGTCAAGACGACATTTGTCTGGACTTTTTTCCTCGTTCCTCTATTCCCGCTTTTAATTCCATAAAAGGAACTTCGTTTCCGCTGATGCGGACAAAAAGGGGTATTTAAACATTTTAACCTCGGAGCTCCATTACAGGAATAAAGTTAATTCCTCGAACGTCAAGCGGGAACGCATTCATTGTCCCGTTCCTCTATATTCGGAAATAACATTTCAAGTGAAAATCTTAATTACTAAGCTTTGCGGGAAGACTTTACTATTGCCGGAAAACAGGGAAGATATCCATCCGGAGTTGAATGTCTTAAGTTGTTCGGTAAAATCTAAAACCATTGCTCGTCAAAACAGTGGAACCTATAACGCGTATGCAGCAACCTAATAATATTTAAGATAGGAGTATTTCGATGAAATCGATAGAACGTTACGAATGCTTTCAATTTCGTTAAGCGTGTTCCTTTTCCTTCCGCGAAGTAGCCGGATGCGGAAGACTTACGATTGCCCAGAAACGAATGTTATTTACTTTTATAGCCCCTTCGCGAGGGTCCTTTATGTTGTTTTTACCGCACGCATCGCAATTGGAACGCCGAAACGGCTCGATGTTTCAGCCAACCACAGGAAATTATTTACCGTGAACGCCACCGACATCGTTGACTTTGACGATAACACTATTTCCTCGAACGAATTACTTCCTCTCGGTAATTTGTCCTCTTTGTGTACTCAAAGATCCACTTCACTTTGATGCGTATCACTGATTTCTTTGTTTCTAGTTTCCCTTCGTTTCTAATCGCCGCTAGTCAGATTTACTACAGCGAAAAACATTCCGAGATAATGTTTAACACTGCTAGCGTTAATAATATTTGACAAAAATTCTAGATTAGTAGATTCCATTAGTAAAGGAAACAGGAAAGTAAACAGATTTCGAATCTAGCGAAAACCACTTCGATGTAGTATACCATTAGAAATATCAACTTATATGCACGTAGGTCGAAACGATTTTCATTGCTCGGGTCGTGCAAGTTATCAGCGATATCGACGGCTACCAGCTCGCGTCGAACTCTGCGGTAAATTCAAATTTGATGTCTCTGCGGGTACCTTTGCCATTCGACGTTCGTTCCCAACGGTAAACCAATTTCCTGTTTTCCCCATGAATCAATTTTCCAACCATCACGTACGCGACTGAGTCGTTTCTCATCCATGAGAAGAAGGGATACAGAGGTAACGCTACGCGATAGATAAAGGCTCCCTTGAAAGCGTACCCTACGAGGCGATGGTTTCTAATCTATCATAAGAGATATTGCCGAATATACTTGTAATATCAAAATATTCCAGGTTGAAATTATACGAAATAAATCACATAAATTGGTTGGCTAGTTGTTTGAAACCCCCGCATCGTACAGATAGCTGGCGAATACGAATGAATGCCCCGCGGAAATTAGTCAAAATAGATACACGGCGATTTCAGCGAAATCATTAAATGGCAATAATATGGCTGTATGGTATAAATTAATTGTGATATTTAGACGAATCTGGGCTAATTGATAAATCCTCTATTGAAATTAATGATTAACTCGGCGAGATATAAATTCGGACGATTGTAAATACGAATCGAGTAAATGTACGGTAGGAAACGTTGAATTTTCTGATTATCTTGCGTGTTTCCTTTCTTTACGTGTTTCTTTTTGTATACAAAACAAGTTCTACCCGGACAATGAATAAATATATAAACTAATGGAACCTCCTGGAAGCAGTTAGCGTTGGATGGAAAAAGGGTAAGAGAAGGATGGCTTAGGAATACAGGCGTATCGTGGATCGAGCGTGCGCCCCCGGTATTTTCGCGAAAATAGCACGTTGCACTTGAAGCACGAGAGGTAATTACAATAGCACGTCGTAACGGCAAGGTTCGAGTATTGTTATCACGATGATCCGACCTCCCCTTCTACCTTGTAATTATTCAGCCAGTGCTGTACACGCGGCCCTATAGTCATTGAAATTAAAGCTTTTTGCATTTTCAACGGCGCCTCGTTAATCCGTCACGATGACGGCTTCGTGGCTCGTATTAGCAATAAATTGCACGGGGCTACGACGTGCCGAGGCGCGATTTTATCGAGAAACAAGATTCCCCGAGGCAAACCACTCCTCCAGTAACCGACGCGAAACAATTCTCCTCGAATTAAATGCTTTCTACGTGTATTCTGCGGAGAATTAGGGACCTTCCTCGAGAACGTGACATGTCCGCGAATACTCGAGCTCGTAGCTATATTTTCGAAAGAGGCCAAAGTGCAACGGCTGTTGGATAAATCCGTGCACGCGCGAAGAAAATCGGAATTTTTAACTTATTTCTTAATGCGAAATAATCCTGTTTCCGGTAGTAGCAAGAATTACAGAACACTCTGTAAATTCCTTGGTTCTTGCACGCGTCGTGAACAAGCAAGCCAACATATCGTAGAAACGCTGGACCCCATGGTCTCTGGAGTTAAACGTAATGGTATTAAATCAGACCGAAAACGACTATCGGTCGAGTTCACTCGCGACCCATTCTCGTTACGTTCGCTTGTAAGCCCCTTAAAGAACGGAACGTTCTTTGGTAATGGCACGAGCTTTTAACGACTAAGAACCAACTATCGAGATTTTCGTAATCGTTACATATATTTCCCTTGTTTCTAAAGCGACGCAATGTAGTGGCAAAATTTCATTCTGCTTTGAGCAGGACATAATCCTCTCGTTATCTTTATCGTTTATTTCGGTACAAAAGGGATTTTGAAACATTTTGTTACTGCCTTTGAAGCTTATCTGGAAAATTTCTTTTAAATATTACCTGGTTGGAGATTTTTGATATCGAAGATTACAGTGGTCCTCGAGGGTGAAGTTTGCAAATTTTCGTACCGCTCTTTCGTACATTTTGAAAAGGGTGGATCAGCGTGGCGGCCGCGATGAAAACGAGAAAAGCTTTTAACGACTAAGGAACAATTGGGCATATCTGTTGCCGTATCAGGTGCAGCGGCAGGAGTGATTTCTACGGAAGCATTGCTTAATCCTGTTTCGATAATCCTCTCATCGCCACTGGTACATTCGACCAAGCAACTCCACCAACTAAACCAGGTGGGCTCGAAGCGATTTCAAAA